GCGTGCCGAGCGGACCCGGCCCAGACACCTCCGTTGAGGTTTTCCCGACGCTGCCGCCGCCTGCGGCGTGGCAGGTCTGGACCGGCGCCTCCGTCCGAGACGGCCGGCGCGAGGTGCGCGTCTTGCGGAGCCCGGAGCGGAGCGAGGCACCGGCGGCTGCGGGCAGGAGGGGGTGCCCCTGCCTTGGCCTCAGGACCGGGTTTGTGCGGGATGTTTGAACGGGGCTGCACTCTGGAGTCCACGTGGAAGGCCGAGGCCAGGCAGTGGCCCGTGGTGCAGGGCAGGGAGATGGCAGAGCCGCGGACTCAGTCACCGGGACTGCAGATGCGGGAGGCGGGGAGCTGCTGCACTGGGGAGTGTGAGAGGGAAGAGGGGCGCACTGGCCGCTGTGTCTGGGTACCGGGGCTGAGCGTGGAGCCCTCGGCCAGCTCCACCAGGTCCACGGCCTGGGTAGCCTGTTGCTGCGAGAGGATGGATGCGCGTGAGGAGAAGCGCCGTGATTTCTCAGAGGAAAAGTTCATGTCTCGCCTGTCCCTCTCTCAGCAGGACACTGTGACCTTGGATGACGTGGCTGTGTACTTCTCCTGGGAGGAGTGGGGCCTCCTTGACGACACTCAGAGATGCCTGTACCATCGCGTGATGTCGGAGAACTTCGAACTTGTATCATCGCTGGGTAAGACTCGCCCTGGACCCCAGCGCACAGTGTGGGCTGTGGTGCCGCTTATTTCCTCAGGGTTCTCAGTAGGGGGTCTGTGGCCAGGCCACTTTCATTTTCACTGCCCCACCTTTTCCCTGCTGTCCAAACCGCACTATCCAGAGCCCTCAGAAGGGAGGATTTGAGTCGCACAGACCTGCTGTGAGTCTAGGCGATCGGACTGCTGGTCCCTGGCCCTCTCTGTTCTTCCATGTGTCCAGATCCAGGGCACATGTGTACCCCAGGGGTTGAGCCCTTCCTGAAACTGTTTCTTCATTCTCATTCCTTGTTCCGATCTTGCCAGTCTGTAAACCTTTATTTCACATGCACTGTGCGCTGATGTAGCAGAAATCTGGGTTTACGCCGCTCATGGAAAAAACAACTGGAATGATGAGGGCAAGCAAAGCTTTAATTGCGGGCGGACCCAGACACGGATCTCGGTCCCCTGTCAAAGTCTGGGACCAGACCACTTCTTGTGTGCAGGTATAAATAAATGTTAAAAAAAGTGATCAGGTTAAGGAATTTTGGATCACTCCAGATTGGATGGTGGGGCCTAGGCTGGTGGGAGTCGACCCGTCCAGTGCATGTCAAGTCTGGAATGTGGAACAGCAGCAGGGAACTCAGAGCAAGAGCGGTGTTTTCCTCAAAAATCCCTTTTTCCTCACCGGGTCCTGGGATGGTCTCAGTAAGGCTGATGAGCTTTCTTTACCATTTCTGGTAAAACGGGTTGAGTGATGAACTCACTCAGCTTTTGGGTTTTTTATCTTTAAGATGTATTTATTTATGCACAGAAGAACTGGGGTACAGGCCAGAGGTGTGGGGGACATGAGGATTCACCTGAGACGGAGTGGGGAGCAGAACAGGCAGATCTGAGACACTGAGGGAGCAGCGGGCGGGTCAGGAGAGTCTGCTGCGCCCTGGGGTCCCTCCCTGGCGGGGATGGACTCGTGCTGCAGGGGCTGCGGACAGCTTCGTAGCGCAAAGGGTCTTACAGGTTGGCAGGTTTTTTCCCTCCCGCATTTTAACTTACTTTCCTGATAGGGATGGTTTCTGCTGTAGAATTTTCTTCCAGCTGTGGTGGGTCCCTTGTATACCATGCATGCCTTTTTGTTGTTCCTGTCAGGGTTCTATTGTGAAGGGCTCCCTTGTCTGGAAGGGTTAAGTCTCGGTGCTATCAAGCTGTCACCACAGTGGCCTGAGTTTGATCTCAGTGACCTCTCTTATCTCCCCCGCTGCCCCTTCAGCAGTGTGTCTTAGTGGATCTGCCTGTTCTGCTCCCCACTCTGCCTCTGAGAATCCTCTCACTCCCTGCACCTTTGGCCTGCACCCCAGTTCTGTGTGCGTAAATAAAGATAACGCTTTGAAATTTTCATTTCATTTCTTTCTTTTGAAAGTTATGTTAAAATGTGTCTCAGAGAAGCTCTCGTTGGATTGAGTTGGTTTGGTCGCCTGGGAATCTGACAGGTGTGGTCCTTCTTTTGGACAGTTTTGGGCCACGAGTTCCTTAAGTGTTTCAGCCTCATTCTCGCTTGTCCTTTTGCTCCGCGCGTGACCCGAGCACCGTGTCTTGTGGCGATGTACCATAGCTTGTATTCTTTACTCCTTCCTGGCCCCCTGACTGGATGAACTGATGACCTGATTTCAAGGTCACAGAATTTTTTTCTTTTTTCAAGATTTATTTATTTGTGCATACAGAACTGCGGTACAGCCAGAGATGCAGGGACAGTGAAGGCTTCCCCAGAGACAGAGTGGGGAGCAGAGCAGGCAGATGGACAAAGTCCACTGCTGAGGGGAGCGGCAGGCGAGCAGGAGAGGTCTGCCGTGGGTCATCTCCGGGGCAGGGATCAAACTTGCGCCGAAGCCGCCAAGGCTTGGCTTAGCTTTGCAGTGCAGTGCCCCAACCCCTGTGCCGCCAGGCAGGGCCCAGTCACAGAATTTTATCAGTCTCATCAAAAACGTCTTTATTTCTTCTGTTAGATGTTTCACCTCTGAAATTTCTTTTGATTGTGGTTCCCCCTCCCACTTTCTGAAATGCTTGATTTGTTCGTGGCTCATTTTCCTGATTTGTCTCCGTTCTCTTGATTTGTTGACCCAGAATGTTGACTCTTTGTCAGGAAGTTCTTCAGATTTGCATTTCCACGTGTTTCCTTGCCATGGGGCGATGTCCTAGCCTTGGTCTTTCTTGTTTGTCACTGTGCATTTGATCGGTTAGTCTTGTCTTCTTGTAGCCTTTGCAGACCGGATTTGCTGGGGTTATGCTTTATTGTCACTTGGTTGGAAGATCGTTACGGTGGACTGTGGCACCATGTAATGGCTGTGCATCTCCGTGGACTGGGGCCAAGGCTAGCACCCCCGTAGGGGACCCCGCAGCCAAAGCTGCCTCACCGGTTCTCAGCCGTGGTGAGTGTGATGTCAGGGTAGGATTCGGTCCACAGTAGCAACATCTCCACCGTGACTTTCCTTGATAAAGGTCACTTCCGGTGCCTCGCAGCCACTTCTGCTTCTCTTTGCCATTATCAACATTCTGCTGACTAGTCAGCTCTACTCTTTTGCCATTTCCACTCTGACTTCCAGCCCAAGGATGTTTCCTCTCCGGTCTTCTAGTCTCATGCATTTCTCTCAGCTTCTCACACCACAGCCTTAGGCCACACCTGCCACTAGCTGTGCACACATCCTCAGATTGTTTTGAAAGGCAACTGCTGCGTTACAGTTGATTTCACCTGAGTTTTGACTCTGGCCTCTGCACCTCAGTGTCATGAGCAGTAAAGGCCCTGTGCAATCCTTTGGCCTAGAAGCAGTTTGCAGCGTGGCCCTTTTCCTTGCACTACCCTTGGGGAGGACTCCAGCTGTGGGGCTCCTTGATGTCCGGTGGCCGTTTCCCAGCACCATGTCAGCTAGCTCATCTGTTGATGGAGAAGCATCCCGAGATGCATTCCTAGGTGACAGAAGTGCCCATTTGGAACGGCCTGTCTCTCCCTGTAAATTCAAACTGTACTTCACCGGCTTTCTTTGTATCCAGGTTGCTGCTGTGGAGCAGAGGATGTGGAGGCTCCCTTGGAACAGGTCATCTGTGTGGATGAGTCCCAGGTCAGCTCCGCCAGGCATCCTTCATCTTCAAGGAAGACCCACCCCTGTGACAGGTGCGGCCCAGCCATAAGGGACATTTTCTGCCTCCTTGAGCACCAGGGACCACAGCACAACCGGAATGTGTTCAGGTGTAGGATGTGTACAAAACAGTTCTGTTTTGATGGAAACCTCCAGAAACACCAGGAGCAGCACTTGGGAGAGATGCCTTTGAAAAGCATGGTGGATAGCACCTCACTGGTGGAGAGCTTGGATTTCCACAGCTCAGCAAAGCTGGTTCCCCAAGGAGACGATGGGGAGGACTTCCTGGTGACCTTGAATCATCTCCAACAAGAGGCCACTCACCCCAGGGAGACACCAGGCCAAGCCTCCCCGGGCAGGGAAGCTCTACAGAGCCCAGAAAGGGATGAGACCGGGGGCACACGCAGAAAAGCCTGGAGGCCCGAGCACACACTTGTTCAGGATCAGGTTGTGCACACTGGTAGACCATGTCTTGTGTGCAGGGAATGTGGGAAAGCATTTGACAGCAAATCTTCATTTGTCGTTCACCAGAGAGCTCATATTGGACAGAAGCTTTACGACTGCGGTGAATGTGGTAAATCCTTTAGGCGCAGCTCAAACCTACATAAACATCAAAGAATTCATAGTGCAGAAAGGACTTACAGCTGCAGTGAGTGTGGGAAATCTTATAGGGATAGAGCCCAGTTCGGTCAGCATCAGAGACTTCATACTGGAGAACGGCCTTACGAGTGCACTGAATGTGTGAAATCGTTTCCCTGCAGCTCCAGGCTCCTCTCTCATCAGAGAGTTCACACAGGGGAAAGGCCTTACACCTGCAGTGAATGTGGGAAGTCTTTTTCATACAGCTCGACACTCAGACAACACCGGAGTGTCCACACAGGAGACAGGCCTTATGAGTGCAGGGAATGTGGGAAGTCCTTTAAGCGAAGAGACCACCTTCTCATACATCAACGAGTTCACACGGGAGAAAGGCCTTATGAGTGTGCTGAATGTGGGAAGTCCTTTACTTGCAGCTCAACACTCAAAGAACACCAGAGAGTTCACACAGGAGAAAGGCCTTATGTGTGTGGTGAATGTGGAAAGTCCTTTCAACAAAGAAATTATCTTCTTATGCACCGGAGTGTTCACACAGGGGAAAGACCTTATGAGTGCAGCGAGTGTGGGAAGTCTTTCATCTATAGCTCGGTTCTCAGAGAGCACTGGAGGGTTCACACGGGGGAGCGACCTTATGAGTGCTCTGAATGTGGGAAATCTTTTACCTCCAGCTCAACACTCAGAGAGCACTGGAGAGCTCACACTGGAGAAAGGCCGTATGAGTGCACTGAATGTGGAAAATCCTTTAGCCGCAAATCTTTCCTTTCCCACCAGAGACTTCATTCTGGAGAAAGGACATACGAGTGCAGCGAATGCAGGAAATCTTTTACCTGTAGCTCCGCACTCCTTACTCATCAGAGAATTCACACGGGAGAAAGGCCTTACAAGTGTAGCGAGTGTGGGAAATGTTTTACTCAGAGCTCATCCCTCACGGAGCACTGGCGAGTCCACACGGGAGAAAGGCCATTTGCGTGTAGTGAGTGTGGGAAGTCCTTTACCCATAGCTCCACGCTCAGCAAACACCGGCGAGTTCACACAAGAGAAAGGCCTTATGAATGCAGTGAGTGTGGGAAAGCCTTTAACCAAAGCTCTGCACTCTATTTACATCAGAGAATTCACACTGGAGAAAGGCCTTATGAGTGCAGTGAATGTGGGAAAACTTTTACGCACATCTCTGCTCTCCGCCTACATCACAGAGTTCACACTGGAGTAAGGCCTTATGAGTGCAGTCAGTGTGGGAAGTGTTTTAGCCAAAGCTCTAAACTTCGTCAGCATCAGCGACTTCACATTGTGTCTAGGCCTTATGAGTGTAGTGAGTGGAAAATCCTTTGCTGATGTTGCCACCTTCTTAAACACAGATCGCAGTGGAGAGAGGCCTTAAACATAGAGTGAACCTAAGTGCTCATACTTGGGGTATTCCTTGAGCTTCCAGTGATCGTGCTGCATCAAGATGTATGAGGGCAGTGAATGGGGAAATCCTTTTACCAAAACACCCTCGAGAGCTCAGTGCAAGGAAAGATGGTAGAAGTGTAGCGAATGTTTGAAAGCCTTCAGTTTTATCAGATGCTACAAATTCACACACAAAAGATCTGTGTGCTGGTAATGTGTCATTTACTGTTGGGCGTGTTGGCGCTGGGGATTTGCCTTATGAATATCCCGTGTGCCTACATTGAACACGCACGTATGAAGCCATTGAGATGTCAGGTGTGGGCAGCTGTATTACGTTTCAAGGGCCCTCCCCAGGCAGTCACGCCACTTTCACAGCATAGTCCTCTCACTTGCAGTGGGGGGCAGGTGCTCACAGTCCGCCCCGACCCAGCCTAGTGTGTCCAGGGTGTTGGCCTGGGTGTTCTGTTGGTGTGCAGCTTGTAAGAAACTTGAGCTCTTGTTCCTCTCTCCTTTCTCTGATTTATCACTAACCAGAGATTTCTGGTTGGAGGATCCAAAACTAGAAAAGTGACTAGAAAAGTAGCTGATGATTTTCAGGGATGCTGCTCTCACATGGCTCCTGTGGTGGAATTTCCCAGCGTTTGTCACTGACCCAAGAAAGGTTTGTCCCCTGCTGGCTCTGGTTTACAAGGAAACAAAGGACTTTATTTAGCCACTTTCGACCTTGGGGTTTCTGGTCACTATTTGAGATGTTTTTAAAACAGCTAGGTCTAACTTGAAGAGATACAGATTTGTCATTACTTTATGGTCTTCTTATCTTCTGAGAGCGGTATAGTGCAGACCTTGTTTGCTTTGCTACTGTTTCTGCGAGAAAGCCGTCAGGGCCTGGTGGCTCTCATTTGAGGCCTCTGTGTTATTGTAGGAGACCCCAGCAACCCCGAGCAGGGCTCAGCTCTGACAGTTTGACTTTGTAGGAACAGCATGACTCTTCCCCTTGCTCACAGTGACTTTCGGAGACTGGGTGCTGTTGAGAGGTCGCCTTCCCGCATCCCAGCTAGTCCGTGTG